ATGTTATTAAAGCATAATTCACTCTGAAAGCAAAAACATTTTTACAACATATTCAACCTCATTTAACTTTATATTGTGCACTTCGTTTTACTGCTTTTTAATGACAAAGTTAATTATTGCTTAATGTGAACCTCAATATGATATTAAAATATTTAATGTCTCCTAAGCTGTTTAATTTTGCGTTAAATTCTCATGATGGCATTCACTAAAAACTCATCTGTGATGCAAATTCTATTCACTTTATCTCTAAACATGACTTTTACAGCGTCGTACATAGAGAGAGGTTACAAATTATCTATTTAATTGAATCGTGTTTAGAGAACCTGTGTAAGGTTCTTAAAACAAACTGACCTTGCCACTGGATCTAGAGTTATCTTTCACGGAAACATCGCTTGCTACTCATAGGTCATGTACAATCTGTAGCTAATCTTCTAATTATCGTCATAAACATTTTTGTTTTCCTATATTTATAGTTTGATTAACTATGACTATGATAATATACCCTTGATGTTCCCGGACCTTCTTACTTCATGTTACTTGCGTGTGCGGCCAGTTTGAACAGAGTCCATATTTAGGCCACTTTCTTATCTGTCAGATCAATCGCTCGCGCTTTGGATAATGCTTACGGATGAATAAGACATCTAAATGTTCAAAGGAATTTAAGATCTTGAAATTGTATTCTGGTTTTCATGACCTAAAATAAAAATTTTGCTGACTACTAAGTTTTGGGTTTATCTGAATATAATCAAGGTATCAATCCAAAACCGGAGGTAAATTCTCCTTGCTTAGTAACAGGAAATTCATTGTAACATTATATCACTGCAAATTATTATCAGTATAGTGTCGATGAATCACATTTCTGGGATTATGTTACAATGGGAGCGTTTACGAGTGTGTATTTCTTTATCTAATCGTTTTCTGACGATCGATAAATATGTGTAAATTGCTAAACACTTTTCTAAAACCTGGAAAAGATATTTATAACTGTCTCATTTAGTTGATCTTCATTATAAGAACGAAACACACTACAGAGAGAAAGAGCGAGAAAATCGTTTTGAATGCTAGAATTGAAGACAGACTGTGACCAGATTGACGTCATCCCGTCACATATTTTCATTAAAAACTAAACAGTTAATAACATATGGGCAGATTCATTATATCCCAGAAATGAACTTGATCATAAAATTATTATAAGCGCTCTAGCGAATCTGCGACTAACGGGCTCTCGAACATAAAACTTAAGCATCTATTATGTCCTTTCGTATAACTATGTTCAGATACTTAGTCAGCAAAGCCTCTAGTCAACAGCGTTACTATCTGGCGGGTTCGCATTACATGCCCCTTGGTTCGACGACCCTGGTCTGGCGCTTTTATAGCTCCATAGTCCCTGTGTAGTTCGTCGTACTATCCTTTGTTAGTACAAACCTACCTCCGCCCCTTTCCGCGTTATTGGACCAGTAAAAAAGCACTTAACAATCACATACCTCTATAATACTAAGATGCGGTCTCATCTCTGCTTTCCGTATATTTTTATCTGATTTGCAACTTTTTTCGCAATAAAATTTTCATCGCCTCTTTTAAAGTTTGATAGCCGCTTTTTAGCACTAAACTTTCTACAAGTGCTCATGAAATATTTTTTTTATCTGTGACGAGATAATAAATGACGGAGTATTAAAGTTCTATTGTAGTGTTCACTGAAATTATTCTAAAATTTACGTTGACCTAGTGAACAGTACTAGTTGTAACGACTTTTCTAGTTTGTTGTGTGTTAGCTCAGGTCGTTAAGTCTAGTATTTTGTGTACAGGGTTAAGCAATTCCTAGACAACTTTTATTCTGCTTAGACTATAGACCAGGGTTTAGTACGACTGGGTCTTTTTGCTGGTATTTCTAGAGTGCCTTGCCATGTTTATTACGAAGCTATTACGTCTCTATTGAGTCGTTACATCGACTACAGTTTCGTGTTCCTTTTAATGAAATGTATTTTATATTCCATCACAATAGAAATGTTCCAAACTGTTACTTCTAATGGCGCCTTGTTGCATTTGCAATGTTGTTTTCATCGAAATCTATTTGGCATCGTGAATTTATAGGCGTTGCCTCAATGGAATGCATTTGCGGTTCATCGCAATAATTTGCTATTGTTTAATTATATCTTGCACTCACGTATTTCGGTAGCAATAAAATTTATTTCTTTGTTTTTACAAATGCTTGTTGCTATCCGCTGAACTGGCATCCATCCAACCTTTCCGTTTAACTGAACATGAGAATTTGCATCGGCTTAAGATCTTAATTACCTACTCTTGTAGCACGATCTTATTTTTGTCTCATCATATACCTTTTATGGCGGATTAGTATTTTGTGTCCAAATTGATGTTTCGTTTACAACTACTTTACCACGTCCTTGTTAATTGTTCAGTAAGCACTTCACGTATTTAATTATCTTATCTGACGTAAGCATACGTGAGCTATAGAGCTGCTATAGAGTGGATTATGTATTATAACATTTCTTTTTACGACAAAGCAATCAGCCATTGCTCTTTTATCTGTCTGTATTTCGCGTGACTCCCTTCCTTTCGGGTCTTACGTTAGTAGCTCACGCCATATCCGTTTCCAGTAACACGTTCTTGGCCGAAATAGTTTTCAATTTCTTGGGCCAAGGAGTCCACTCCATATTTATTGGAATTTGAGATGTTTCGTTGACTTTCCGAGACAAATTTTCATTTGTCAAAGGAGCAATCTTAAATTATTTTTACACCTAATAACATTTCGATGAAGGACGTTCAGCTATTAGTTTACGATTTTAGTTTCAATATTTTACGACATACTTATCACAATTCTATCGGTGAACTTCTAAACAATTGTTATCCGTTTTATCTCTAACAATAGTTAAGTATTAAATCGATGTTTGCTCACAAGTATGTACTCAGAGATAAAGATAAATATCTTGTTAACCATAAAACATATAAAAAACCTGAAAACCAATACCATTATCGTCATCTACAACTATTTATTTTGGCTTCCATCTGCCAAATATTATAGCTGAGCATACTGATCTCATAAAATCAACAGTTTTTGAAAGCCCACACGAATATTTTTGTACCAAAAATGTTTTCCTTTTTTTATTTCTGGATTACATTACGTAAATACCCAGAGTACCATCCGTAGCATAAATAAATTTGAGGCAGACGAACAGATAGAGGTTTGCATACATAACAATGCCTGAACACCTACCATTTTCATAAAACAATTTAGCGAAATTAGAGGACGATGGCGACGTTGAAAAAATTACTTCATATTTGAAATTTTCTGCAAGCAAGCTTACGAATCAGCGAATTATACGATCAACCGTATTTTCCAGGCTTTCTACATTTCTTTTTACTTTTAAATGGAAATGAGTATTATTAGTTTTATTCCATTTCATACCATAATCAGTCTGGATTTAAAATTTTTTTTTTATCTGACACATATTTTACGTTTCCTGTAATTATTAGTAATAAATTTTCTACTTTACCGCGCTACGGGATACTAAATGAACTATTAATTAGAGCCCTTTATACTCTCATCCATGAAAAATTGTTCCGACTTAATATCACACAGAGAATTAACTGGACCCAAAAGGATTGCTTTTATTAGGATCCTTGCGCCCTATGCCGACAAAATTAATCCTTATTTGTTACACTGTACTAGACCAAAACCCGAATATTTTACGTTGATCGAATATATATTTCTGTTCTTTATATTGATCTTGTACTTTACCGCGATACGGGACCGCGCTACATGAGAACTGGTGACGTAAATCGAAGGTATACTCGACTGGAGGTTTCGTGACTTGACGGAGAACTGAAGCTTGTTATCTACATCGTAAAATAATTTCAAGTGGCATAAAATCGTAATTTTGTCACTTGAATATCGATTTGTAATTGACTCTTCATGTTTATCATGTTTCCAATAGATTATTGTTCTATATTGGTGTTGAATCAAAGTGCGCTTGAACTGGTGTTGTTTTCTTTCAACGTGAATTATTCATGCTCTTGCCAGAAGTAGTGTTGTCAAAATCTAACGCGTTACTACGTTCTTCTTAGTTATAAATAGTATTTTGTATCAAAATATATATGTGTGGTATATTTATATTAACTTCGTATTTACAGTCTTTCTTATAAATCTCACATCACAATTTCAATTTTATATCTGTAATTGAATTCTAATTTATGACCTGTTATCAATGGCCAATGGTGGCCGTAGCTGGATTTTATTCAATTTAAAACGTAATTGGCACAATCGCGTGTACCTTGCGGCTTACAATGGCGTCTTGGGCATCCTGATTACGACCTGTAACTATATTATTTTCATGCACTATATCATCGTGAATGGAACACTCAGTACCACCTCTACTAGTTATGAATTATTTATTCCAATTTACCTTTTTTTCTGTCTAATCTTTATTTACAACCTTTCTTATTATCCTATACGAAATGTTGTATTAAATATTATCACTATCAGTAGCAGAATGTTTGGGTCTACATACATTATTATATTTTTTTATAACTGTTTTGGCACAACACTACTTAAATATAACATCCAAATGTTATGTTTTGTCATCCAACCACCATTCTTGTCTCGTCTGCTCTTTTCCAGTTTATTTCTCACATTGTTTTCAAGTTGTTATTTGCCGAACCTATAATTACTTATTACTTAATTAGTTTTATCAGCTAATCAGTCGTTAGTGATTGTATGTATGATATTTATGTTATTGATATACTATATTGCGCACTGTTTCTATTTAGTTATTTATTTAATGCATTTGAAACAGCGTTTGAAACTGTCTAACCTTCGTAAACTGAAATCAATACCAATGGAGACAAAAGGTTCACCATGCTTCATAATGAAAGACGAATCAATAGCAAAATTGACAGGAGGAAATAGATTCCTACAAACACGACACATCAAAGAAAGTTAGATCAAAGCATGTTTGTATGTAACATGAGTATGTTTGTTGCAGTGTTTTCGAAGGGGCAATGCGAGACTGGGCGCTATCGCTTCCTCGCCAAAACTGGTGGGTTTGCCTGGGTCCAAACCCAGGCTACCGTCATCACCGACAAGCAACAGAAGCCCATCAGCGTCGTCTGCGTGAACTACGTCATCAGGTAGGACTAGTTATAAGAAAACTTCTTTATCATTGTCTATATGTATTTCTCCTATATCAGTGTCCATTTCAGGAGTATTAACAACAATTATGTTTATTTTAATAAATACTTTGAACATATTAAGGTAAGTAAAGTTTTCTCTATTATGTATTTCATAAGTTTCATTATATTCTTTGTTATTAAGGTCAGGCTGGTCTATCGTCATACGTTTTACAACATTATGGTTTGTACATACAGGATTGCCAGTGTAATGTTCGTAAGTGACCATATCTTTTGCGTAAAAGCCTTATCGCGTCGGCTCAACCTCGTTTAGAGCACTTTCGTTAATTTAATAACTATCTATTTGCGAATTAACTAAGTTAATTTGAGTCTGGACTATAAAAGTAGAGACGGCATAAAACTGACGGTAAAGTTTCCTAGAAAAGTCGTTAAATTTTATATAATGTTAGTATATTTTCTGTTACCTTGGGTGAAAACATTATTATGCTAAATATTTGAATAAGTACCAGAACCGTTATGTTTGAGTATTATTGCATAATTTGTTCCGCGAAGAATATCGGAAACGCTATTTTCGTAATTTTGTATAGAATTTCACAAATTACTTTTAGCAAAGAGTAATAAATTACAACAACTAAAAGATCTTACTATGCAAAAAAAACTTAAAACTGTTCCTTTACCACTACTTGTCGGAATTTCCAGTAAATCCATCTCCTTGAAACCTTATACGTCTGTGTCGAAGCTTACATAGAATTTACTCAATAAAACCTTCTACACCAGGAATCATACATAGGTATGTTGTGGATCCTACATTTATCACAAGTTGTAAAGTAGTTCGTTCAATATTAGATACTTTCACGCTCCATATTGTCTTATCTACATTTAATTCAGGGCTTATTGGGTTTTCGTAACAAATGCTGTTACTTATAAATCTTTTTTGGGTCTCGCATTTGCGATTATGTGTGTCGTTTAGGTCTTTATACATGTTTCAATCTTGATCTTATTGTGTAGTGTAATGGACATTGCTATTATTATGTTCTTAGACAATATCATTTGGTTCATTATTATGGTTATCTGTATCTGCGGTGCAAACTTTCTAATCTGAGTCGATAATGAAACAGCGCTCTGATAAATAAAAAAAACAACTAAGTAGCTGTAGTTTCCCTTCATAGCAACTTGGCAATCATATCAAATAGAATACTGGCTGATAACCTAGTTTCAATTCTTGTTAATGTTTCGAACATGTTCATTGTACGTTTGAACAACACCTGGCGTATTAACTGTGTGTCAGGGACAGCCATTTTGGCGTTTAGATCTCATCATACTCACACGACACTTGGCACGTCCCTAACTGCATGTGTATCAGCAACATTGTACCAACATCTGTTTCTTTTCTAACAGATGGAAAGTAATTTCCTTTTTTTGTTTACTGCTTATTTAACGTTTTAATTTCATCATTTGCTTTACATTTATTATTTAGTTCAATTCTATCATAAGTATCTTCGACTGATAAAGATTCTTCTAAGTTATTTAAGTATAATCGTTTGGTGTGATTTTATTATGCCTTGTTTCTTGGCTTGTGTAAACAAATAATTACAATTTTGTTGTTTTTATTGTTTAATATAAATTTGGTTTTTCCCTAACTTAAGATAATAATTCCTTTTCTAGAAACAACCCCAACCTAATTTTAATCTATTTTCATATGTGATTAACAGATATTTACTATAAAATCTATTACTTCAATGTTTATTACGCTTTATATAAATTCTATCAACGAGAAATGTCCTCTAATTTCTCATTCTATTTTCGTCACATCTTTAATCTCGTGAAAAGTATTTGAACGAAGTGCAATTGTCCGTGAAAAAGAATTTTCCGATAGCTACTCTCCAGCAAATGACTGATATTTGATACGGAGAACTTTTTATTTAAATCAATTTGGATCGGCATATATTTCATCGAATTCTGTTAAAATCTGAGTCTAGAATTCAATTACAGTTATTGAGTGTTTCTTCAAAACGTCTGTTTGTAACGTCTAGCACATTTTATTTCAGTTTTACGATGTTGTTTCTTTTATACAACTTTGACACTTCAACCATACTTCGAACACAAAAATGTTTTTGTCAAACCTTCTCAACAACCATTGTTAATAGCATTTGTTTGTCTCAAATTGTGTTTAGTACTTTTTCTTTATCACAGTCAGACTTATAATTCTATCAGAGTTTTCTGTATTTCACTTCTGCATTGGTTGTAAAATTCATTTTCTCTATAAGTTCAGTGAATCTCATCACGTTTGTAGCGCACGATCCCTCCGCTTGAAAGCTGTTAACATTTTGAGGTCACGCGGATTGTTATGTGTTTTCCGTTTTTTTTGCTCTTTACATCGCTTCCACATCAGACCTTTCCGTTTCATTATATTTGCCGGTTCGTCTGGATCGGTTCAGTACTGTTTATTGCAATCTATTTTAAACTCGATTTGGCAGACATCTATAAATATTATGTAATAACCATTTGTATTTGTGGGCGATAAAATTAACATTACTGGTTCTTTAAATGGAAGGTCAAGGATATCTCCGTACATTCGTAAATCTTTTCTTCGTTGTCCATTCTCTAATGATAAATTATTCACTAGGGAACAATGACACCACGTTCAAGAAACTTACGAACTGGAAACTTTGTAAGATATACAACTACACTATTCTATTAAAATAAGAAATACCATAAAAATACCTATTGGCCTGCTATTAGCCCTTGTAATTGGGGGCAAGCCAATTATTGTATTGGTTGTCGAACCTAAATCGACTAAAGTACCATTTAAAAAGAAAATTAAGCTAGGTTTGCTTAAAAATAGTGATTGATTCAAAATATTCCGCATTACTCAATATGTTCAGAGGTCACAATCACTTATCATTCCACTCTCAAGATGTCAGTATCGTGGTTTACAAACTGTAGGCCGTGAAAAACATTCATTCGTGTTTTGGTTAACACTTGCCTTATCTAAGTCGAACCGTGTGTAATATGTTTATTTATATTTCATTTTATTATTATACTTCTTCATTTTATTACTATACACTACTTGACAAGCAAAAAATCTCACTTAATTACGTTCACGTTGACTTTCTTCATCAAATCACCAGAAAAATGTTTGAAACCATCTCCATTTAAAATGTATAAGCCAACGTTAGTCAACACTTGAAAACGTCCATCTTTTCTACGAAAGGAGGTTAAATAAATTAGAAAAGCAAATTACAAATAGTACACAGTAATAAGTCTAACATTTTCTTAATTGTGGTCTTTGTGTGAAAACATTGTAATTTTCTGAACGCTCCTCGTGAATTGAGAGAAGTTTTCTTAGGAATGCAATTAACAGTCTTAATTAACAATATATCTTTGTAGCTGCAAACTGGTTTGGTTAAAACTTTGATTTTCTTCATGGCTGCTTTTACTTCTAGTTTGGAAATTAGTTTCATCATCATCATTACTTACTTAATAGAACTATAGAAAATCTAAAGTTCAGCTATTGAATCATCAGTAGAAAAACTCAGTCTTTCGGAAAAGATCCCCTAGTGAATAAAAAATATGAACTTCTGGTATTATTATATGTCTCTGCAGGCCCATTTAACTCATCTTGTACAAGATGAAGTCCCATTTTTTTTGACCGAGTAACAAAGGCCTCCTTACACAAATAACTCGTGAATGTTTTTACACGTGCGAATTCTTCGTCAGTAGGTAATATTATTAGCTTTACCTTAATTCCCAATTTAGACTTTGCTCTCCTAACGCCAGCCTTGAAATTGTCACTATTTATTTAATCATAACTATATCCATATATGATTTTTGCTTAATCATTCTCTATTCGTCATTATTTCTTATGCACAAAAGTCCTATTTCAAATAATCATCTTTATAAGCATAATTTCTGTTATGATTTCAAGTTAGGAAGATGATTTTAACATAATCACTGTTTTTATAACAAAACATGATTTTGCGTCTTGATGAACCTGTACATAATCACTGATGGTAAGTTGATGTGCGAAGCGTTTTCCTTGTATATGAGGTTCAAAAACAACGTATTAATACCTTGGAAATATCACAGCACAGCTTTAAAAGTTACGAATCTTCTTCGTCTTTACTTCAACTTACTTTGGATCAGTATAATTTGTCTATCTATCAATCTTCGGTTATGCTCTCCTTGCCATCCATCAATTCTTCCAGTTACTTTTATGCCAAGAGTTTCAAAGTCACCATGAGTAAGTGCCTTCCCAAATTCGTCATAAAAAGTCATACTTGACTACACCTCAATACCTACCACTCAATCTGTACCTATTTATAAACTGGGCGTGTGCCGACACACCCATTTTTTCGCCAATTCATACTCCTTCAGCGACATCAATATCAAAACGATTTGCATCATCTGTGACGTACATCGGGAACACGATAAAAACCCTATTGTGTCATCGACTTTTGTAGCACAGTCATTCTTTTATTTCACAATAACAAATCAGATTTATGTAACTTCCTATTTTCATACTATTTTTATAATAGCACATCAACAACATTTATCATCACCATGTATATTAGAACTTTGCCAATTGAAACATCAAACACCATGATCACATCTGATTGAAATTTTTTAGTTCTTCCTCCGTCACGCAACAGTACGTTTCATCACGTTTCATTACTCTCACGACTTTTCAAAACAAACTTGACCTACGGCTATGATGTGAATCTGCTAGCAAAACATTTTCTATTTCTTGCACTATTATCACTAAGTACGTACGTATATTATATAAGTGTCAATTAATTCGTACTCATTAGTTCTTATTTCTTCATCTTATTAGCCATTAATTTAAATTAGTAGCTTATTATTAGGTATATTGGACAACGTTGATGGAAAATTTATCTTATCATCGTTAGCTACAGATGATAGTGGACTGGCAGTATGAGCATCAACATCAGCTGCATCTGGGGTTATCTCGGGTGTTGGTTGCTATGTCACTTATCCCT